CACACACACACACACACACACACACACACACACACACACACACACACACACACAACAGGACTCTTGTGGTCTGGTAGGCAAACTTCACCTGGAGCTTTAAACTCAAAGCGGTGCTCAGAGAAGTAGCCACACGTGCACACACACAATCACACGCCTTGTTCAAGCCGTACGGTTGAAACAGGTAAAAACCTGTTTATCTGAAAATCAGACCGGTTAATGATTCAGTTATTACTCTCTCCCCTGTACGTATAATCAGATACTAACCTCTTTGATGTTTTCTGTATCACTTTCTGTGTCGCTGCCTGTTCAAAAAGAGACATGCACACAACTATTACTCCCTCTTACGTCACACACATCAAAGGGAAAAACATGCAGAAAAATTACGTTCAGTTAAAACCATGATTTACAGCAGAAAACCAAACTGACTACGCCAGCATCCGCCAGTACTGTTCTCAAGAAAACAAGGGATACATGAATGACGTCCATTTGCACCCTGACTCATAAAGTAATGGTGCAATTTAAGAAACACGAGAAAGAAATAAGAAGCAGAAAAAGGAAGATGAAGACTCTGATAGTCCACTACAAACTGAAAGAGGCAGCTCTGCCTGAACGACTGACTGGGGGAAGAAAAAACGATAGCTACACATACACAGAAAAGAGGGTGCTGATGAAATGAGTAATGGCAAATCAGTGAGGCTCAAGTACAATAACCTCACAGCCCCACACATAATAATCACAGTTAGAGATCTGTTTAACAGGAGCAGGTTTTCCTCCTCTCTACAGCTGGATGAGCAGCTTTGCCTTGTTAGTTCTCTACAGGTAGGGCGTAGGAAAGATGCTGGTGGATGTTGAAACCTAAGACAGTGCTCTGACTGGTATCAGCAGGTCATCAGGTCACAGTTTCGATATTTCACAAGTTGATGGAGGCACAGAGCAAGTGTCATTTAAAGAGAGAGAAAAAACAACTGATCTGATCTTGACACCAAGATAATGCCACCGCTCTTCACTCTACAGAGCGTGCTCTGTGTCTGCATTCGTAGCGCTGCTCTAAAAAAGGTTACTATGTGGTCAAAGCTCCTTTGAATAACTACACAGCGGACACTCCTACGAGCCTGCTCCACTCTAACTAACGTATTTATGTTTCTCCTTGTAACAAAATGTGGCGAGGTGCAGTTGTGGCTGTCTTACCGCCGCACATAGACACAGGAGAGATCTGCAGCGGGTACGGGTGGGAGGAGCTAACAGTCTGCTCCTCATTCTCAGTGGTCACCTCGATTGTTTGACAGACAAACGGCAGCTGCTCACTGGTGATCACATGGTCTTCAGCTTGACTGTGGATCACTGAGGATGGACAGAGAAGAGTCAGGATGAGTGGGTTCATAATCTTTGTATCTGCAACGACCATATATGTGAGTAAAGTACACCAATGTCTCCTCTCCAAGCACTTGTCTTAGTGAAAAGTTGTAGTTGGTGTGACGACAATCAAACTTTAAAAAGTTAAATGATACTGAGTGGAGAAAGGGAGGGTTTCGTCATTGCATAATGTGCGTGTTCACGCTTCTTGTATTTCTCCTTCTGATGCAACACCCTCAGGCCTGCCACTGTGTTACAAACCTGACTCATCTGCTTAGTCATTGTAAGCACAGGTCAAAAGCAAACAGGTAGCACATACACACAAATGGGATAAAGGTAATGGAAAAAAAGAGAGACGGTGGTGTGATACCTGACACACTGTCTGTCACTGTCAGCTCCACTGACTCCATCTTGATTGTTTCATGTTTGGTGTAGTCAACAGGTCCAGCATCAGCTTCAAGAAGACTGTTGTCTGGAGATGGAGAGCTGACCTTCTGGTTTCAAGAAGGAAAAACGATTTTTAAATGATGGACGATCAAAGTCTAAAGACACTTTATTTCCATAACAAAGAGCTGACGTCAGTAATCAAAATAAGCGGTAAGACAACACGCCAAACACCTGACCATACAGCAGAGAAAGAAGAAAAAACAATAAGCCAAGACATACAACTGATTAAAAAAAACTATATATAAAGTTAATGCTACAGTGGGCACATTTTTAAGCATTAAATGGTTCTTTGCTCGTGTCTAAACAGAAAATAAGCCTTTCCCTGACTTTCAGCTATCTCACACTGACTGCTGTTCGAAAGATGCTGGATGGGTTTTCCGCTACAGTCCCAGAGTGCCTTGCCTCTGCTCCCAGCATTAACAGTGAGATTAGAAATGGAGTCACAGTTAAACAGACAAGCTCCACACAACAGTTAGTAAACAATTTGTCCACATCAGTGGTTATACTAATGTTAGCCAGAAGAAAGCCAGTTGTATCTACTGAAACTAGTCAAGAAAATCATATCATGTCATCATGTTGCAGGTTTCCCAGCACTGCCATTGGCAAAAATACATTGAATGGAAAAGCTTATCTGATCAGCTAACTTGATCCAAAATACAAACTTGCATCACACTGAGTATGTGGTACTGGCTGCTCTGTCATGCATATGTTGGCTTCATTGTCATTTGTGGTGGGAAAAAAGACCATCAACACAACGCTGAGTACAGTTGAGTGTTTTAAACACTGTCTGCAGAGTTTGAGTCTATAAAGGAGATATCTACATCACATCTATTCATACACATCAGAAATCCCAAAGGTTGTACCAGGAATATAATAACTTTAATAAACTCTAACTGCCTTGAGCCAGCAAAGAGATGATATGTGTACTTTAAAAAAATGAAGGGATTTATAAACAGCTTTGTTAGAAACGAGCTGCCCTGACAGAGAGCATACTCAGACACAGCCTGATATCTGCATCAATTCTGCTATAAAAACACATTTTGCCAAAATATACTGAGCTAACCAACCCCACCACATTAAACAAGTGCACGGCTTCCTTTTTTTTCTTATTCAAATTTCCTGTTCCAAAGCAAACAACTTGACCCTGTGATGCTCTGCTATATCTGATTTTTTTGACTCCTAGTTCTAAGCTCACTCTTTCAGAAAGTGAGAATAAAAATGCCTGAACAGATTTTCTTAAAAATGTTTTTCTCCAAGTAAAGCTTCAAGATCCACCTATTCATCAGTGCGATACAAGCAGCAGTTACCGGTCGGACTTCTGACAGGCAGAACAGAATTTCGGTGAGTGTGTGGTACCACACCTTTTTTCCCTGGTAAATTTCTCTGTCATGTGTGGAACTGAGCAACAGTTGATTGTTCAAAGTAAGATAAAATGGCAGGTCGCCAGCTCAAAGGCTGCGTGTCATTTCCAGAAGTGTTTTCTTTGCCTTGGCAGGAAAAAGCGCTCACAACACTTCTTAGTAAACCATTTCTGTCATACCAAACATGTTACCAAACCAGCCAGGAGGAAAAGCTGCTTATCAGCTGCAGGTTAAAGTTTGAAATAACTACTGTAAGTGAATCCTGAAGAAACATGATTGTTCTAACATGCTGCTGGTCGCCAGCACTGCTCCAGGATCTCTATCTTTGCTGTTTCATTCCTCTACATCCTACTGTAGCAGTGATGTGATCTCCATCCCGTACGTTTATCTACCTCTTTATTTCCTTTGGACTTTCTCTCCTTGTCTGCCTTCTTCTTTCCTAGAAAAAAAAAGAAAAAAAACATTCAACTGAGTTTCCAGTAACCTCAAACAACAAAAATGAGGAAACAATTGAGTTTCGAGGCAGAATGATAAAACTGAAAGAATTTATGACGACAGCAGCAGCGCTCACCTTTCTTGGCATTTCTCTCTGAGGAGGAGAGCATCTTATAAACTCTGAAGGCATTGGTTCCCTTTTTGATGCTTTTGTCCTTTACCTCCTCGATGTCTGGCAGGCTGTTCATGGCACAGCGAAAATTAGCCTTCCATGTCTTTGGATCAGGACGGTCTACACCTGGCTGGTATTTACCTGATTCAGACGCAAGAAGGAAAAAAATCACTAATTTGTCTTTTTGTGGTGGATTTCAGAGAACAGCTTCATCACTATAGAGGCGATCATTTCTCAGCTAACCAGTGTTACCAGTATGCATACTGACTCTTGTTGACTCTATAATATTAGCTACAAAGACTCTACTTGGTTAGTTTTTGCTGTTTAATTTTACAGCAGCTGGTATTATGTGACATGTTCACTTCAAGTCAGATTAAAGTGAAAAAACAAGGAAATATATTTCTTTGTCTTATTACATAAACTCATTTAATATGATACAATTAGACCATTTATTGGTCAAACTAACTATTGCAATCAAGTACAGGCACCACCAACAAGACTGCAGCTGCTTTTAGCTCGATCTGTAATAAAGTAGCATTTCTCTCAGTGGAAAAATTAACCTGAAATATTTAAACAATGTAACAATTTCCCTAATATTATCCACCAATGAGGTCATGTAACTGGTTTGCTTTGTTTGTTAGCAGGATTACTCCGAGGTGAGGGTTTACGCAGCTTAGCAGTGATTAACGTTTGATCTGGATCTGGGAATTTTTAGAGGGGTTCTTTACCACCAAGGAGCAAAAGTTGGACATTTTACATCATATGTTCTCACATACCAACCAAACTGAAATGTAAAAAGCGATTGGGAGACATCATCTGACAGTCTTCAAACGTCCTTCTAGCAAAGATTACACAGATTATGTTTTCTCATTTACTGCTGTAGCAAAGCAGTGGGGATTACCCTTACACAGACATTGTGTGCTTCCTAACAAAGTTACCTGAGAGCAGGTACTCAAGCTGTTCAGCACAGAGCCAGCACACGTGGTGTTTACATCAGGTGAAAAATATGGAGTCAAACAAATGCAAAAGGATCTCATTATTTTAGGGACGGTAAACAAACAAGAATTTCCTGATGTTACTGTTCTCCGTTTAAGTGAAGCTCAACTTGGATCCTTTTTGAATGTTACTGACTGGGGTTAGCAACGAAGAGGAACACTACTCCCAGTGATATCGAAATGAGGCATTTTATAAATCAAAACTCTCTGAACTTAGTCACAGAAGTGTTTCAATGTGTAGCAGGCATGAAAATGAGAACCGCTAAAAAGGAGAAGCAGCAGCAGAGGCTGCAGTTAAATCTGTGCAATACCCGTGTGTATGGCCCATCTCATGAAGAGCGGAGCATCTTTCTCCAGGTCCCAGCCATGACGGGCAGCGTGCATCCAAGGAATCTGGAAGATCCTCTTCTCCTACAAACAATTTACATTGTTTACATCATCTTGAATTTCAGAGTGTGTGTGTGTGTGTGTGTGTGTGTGTGTGTGTGTGTGTGTGTGTGTGTGTGTGTGTGTGTGTGTGTGTGTGTG